CCATTTTCAAGAAATAAATCAGGCAACAGATATAGACTCCAATATGACCCAAATTTTGGAAGTATCAGATATTAAACTATGATAATTATAACAAAGAATCCAGTTGAAAAGGTGGACAACACAAACAGATGGTGAATTTAAACACAGATAGAAAGCATAAAAAAGAATAAAGTATACATGTGAAAAAAAAACATGCTATCATGTTTGAAGAATTCCTTTAACAAGTTAATCAGTTTGCTGGATATAGCCAAGAAAAGCATTAGTGTACTAGAAGATGAATCAATACAAATTATGCAAACTAACGCACAAACAGAAAATCTCAGCTCTAGGAAACTAAGTGAACTACAGGTAGAATAATTACAAATAAAAACACACCCAGGCAAAATGTAGTAGTAAAACTACTGAAAACCAAGAGTAAAGAAAAATCTTGAACACAAAGAAAAAGAAACATTTACATACAGAGGAACTTTCTCATCAGAAACTGCATAAACCAAATAAACATCTTTAGAGTATTAAGAAAGAAAATAAATGAATTCTAGAAAGAATGAAATATCTTTATAGAGGAAATATCTTTTTCAGGCAAAGCTGAAATAAATCATTACTAGCTAAACATATGCTACCAATAAATGATTGCATTACAAGAAATGTTTCAAATAAATGATTTAAGATTCAACCTTAAAAAGACACTAGGAAAAGACAAAGCACATTAGTCCAAAGCAAGCTGAAGGAAGGAAATAATAAACATAAAAGCAGAAATTAATGAATCAGAAAATCAATCAAACCAAAAGCTGGTTCTTTGCAAAGATCAATAAAATTGAGAAAGCCCTAAGGCCAGACTGATGAGGGAAAAAGAGAGAAGAGCTAAATCATCAGCATCAGGAGTATGAGAGGACACATTAGCACATGTGTCCATATAAGGCCTTAAAAGGGTAATAGGACTATTATGAACAACCTTATGACAGTAAACTAGACAACTTAAAGTGGATGGGAGCAAGATAGAGGAATAGGAGCTACCAGTCTTGGTCTGCCCCCCCCCTCCCCCAAACAAACAACCAACCAAACAGAAAATAGACTGCTATCAACAAACAAAAATAGCCCTGGGAGGGCACAAGACTCAAATTAAGAACCTACAGCAACACAGTGGAGCAATTAATGGATTACCACACAGAAAGGATCACTGTGGAGACGGCTTAGCTGAGACATCTTAAAATGGCGAAGAACCAAGAAGAAGGGTGGAGGCTATCAATATAAGCCATGAGGTGTGTGCCACTGAGGTCCCCAGTGACCTGCTCTACAGAGGGCCCGGCAGCCTTTGCCACTCATACAGCCCCCAGGACAGAATTCCTGCAGCTTTCCCAGCACAGGGCTCCACAATGTATGCTGGCATGGACCACAGCAGCCTGCTCTGCAGAGAAAACTAGCACCTTTTGACACTGAGGTAACCAACAGCTATTGCTGCCGCTAGGAGATGCTGCTGGGTCACTCCCAGAAGACATTGCTGTGTCCCCTGGAACAGGGCTGCCAGCCCCTACCTCCAACTCTGTGCATACCCTGGACCCCAAAGTCCTGGCTGCTCCACATGTACCTGTGCTTCAGACCTCAGCTCCACAGCTGTTCCACATGTGCACACATCTCAGGTACCAGAGCCATGGAAACTGGCCAGCAGCCTAGACCCTACACTCAGCCACTCAAGGAGCATACATGATCTACTCCTGGCTCCGTGACGGATCCAAGTGTGTCCATGCCTCACACCAATACCACCAAAGGTCCCTCCAAAGCCAGACCCATTGCCAAGAGGGATCCCTTGGCTATAGCCCCCTGGGAGAAAAGAGATCAGGAAGTTCCCCAGCAGCCATTGTCACTGAAGACTGTAACAGTCCTCACTACCAATGCAGACACCATGGAGGACCCTTGCAATCTTTAGCAACATTGACTTCAGCTGATGGAGCTGAATGTGACTATGCCACTTGACCTACCTGGGAGCTGGAAACATCAGGCCCCAATAAGCCAGTGCCCTTGCACCACCTGCTGGTGAAGGCCTTTCCCCACCAAAACCACCTGTAAACTATGGAAATGGTGACTGCTCTATCAAATCCACAGACATCAACACAGGCCCATGAGAAACATGAAAAACTAAGGAAACATGACACCAAAGAAACACAATAATTTTCTAGTTACTGACCCCAAAGAACTGGATATCAACTACTTGCCTGAAAGAGAATTTAAAAAATATTGTTTTAAGGAAGTTCAATAAGTTATAAGAAAGTACAGACAGACAATGCAATAAAATCAGTAAAACAATATACAAACAAAATGAGTTCAACAAAGAATAATGAAAAGGAACCTAACAAATTCTAAAGCTGAAAAATACAATTAATTAAATGAAAAATACAATACAGAACATCAACAACAGACTTGATTAAGCAGAAAAAAAGAATATGTGAACTAAAAGACAGGTCATTAGGAATTATGCAGGGGGGATGGGAGGAGAAAGAGAGTGGATCCAATTAGCAGAAGGAAGGAAATAACAAAGATCAGAGCAGAAGTAAATGAAGTGAAAACTATAAAAATAGAAAAGATCAATGTAACTAGGGGCTATTTTTTAGAAAAGATAAAACAAAACTGACAAAACTTTTAGCTAGACTAAGCAAAAAAAAGAAGACCCAAATACAAAGGCTTATGTTAAGAGACTATTATGAACAAGTATATGCCAACAAATTAGATAACCTAGAAAAAATGGATAAATTCCTAGAAACATAAAACCTACCCAGACTGAATCATGAAGAAATAGAAAATCGGAATAGATTATAACTAAGAAGGAGATCTAATCAGGGATCAAAAACCTCTGATCAAAGAAAATCCCAGGACCAGATTTCTTTGCTGTTGAATTCCATCAAACATTTAATGAAGAATTAATGCCAAGCCCTTTTTACATTCTTGCCAACACTTGTTATCTCTTGTCTTTTTTATAATAGTTGTCTTAACAGATATGAGGTGATATTTCATTGTGGTTTTGATTTGTATTTCCCTAATGATTAGTGGTGTTGAGTACTTTTCATGTACCTCTGTCTTTCACCACCGCATATGATATTAGCTGTGGGCTTGTCATATATGGTCTTCAGGTTTATGTATTACTTTTACCAGTATTATGGGGTGAAGGTGAATAATTAGTTTAAAAACACTCCAAACTACAAAAAAACTTAAACCCTTTGGGCAGTCAGCCTCCTGGTATCATATATTCTTTAAGGTTTTTGACACTGGTGGAAAATTTCAGTCTCCAAAATACTACAAACCTAATGTGATTGGCTAATCAACAAGCAATATAACTACCCTCAGCAAAACTAATATATACCACAATGCAAATTTACAAGAATTTTGTTAGATCTTGAAGGTAACAAAAACCATCTAACAGCATTATTACTGTCATACTCATTTTCATACAGTTCTTTTATCTCATATCAGTGTCAGCCTCTGTGTCTGAGTATATTGCACCAAGTTACTCTTCAGCGAGTTTCTTCCTAGTCCTGTGTTAGGTGCCTGGAAGTGCTATCATACCTCACGTATACTTTTCAATTTGCTGTTTTCTCCCTTTACCTAAGAGATCCAGTTGAAATGCCAGTTAACTCTGTGAAGCCATTTCTGATTTGACTGGCACAACTGACAGTTCCCCTCCCAATACCCCATAATACTTATTCATAGTGCTGACAGAAATGACTACATTTTATATTAATTGGTATATGTGCTTCAATCACTTGATGTTGACTATTAACTCATTCCCTAAAGTAACGTTATGCTTCTGTTGCATGCCTAGTGCCTACCTGAAGGCCTGGCATGCTGCAGATGCTCAACAGACATTTGTTGAATTGAAATGGGTCCAGAAGAATTACTAGAACATAAAATGAGCATGTCACACTCAGTGCAGGGAAAGTAGTTTCACTTTAATGTTTCTCCTTCCATTCCTTTGTCAGACCTGTGGATTTTGTTCTTTAGGGGGCTTTGTTTTTGTGTTTTCTACTTAGTGGTATGGTACATTAATATACCATAGTAATAACATCACACTGGTGCATTATTCTGACCATCTGAAGCTAAATGCCACCAATGCATTTTAAATCCTCACCTGCACCTCCTATAAATTGAAATCATGACATATAACAATCTGGGTAAGAATGAAGTTTTGCCAGAAGAACAAATGTTAGTGACACTAATTAATTAATTATCATGTTTGGAATTTAATGTATCCATATTGATAGTAATAATTTTTCTTCAGGAATAATTCAAACAAAAATTCAACAACATAAAAGGCAGGATATTAACTTGCATCAAATACTTCATAGTCTATAAAGATTCTATTTTCATAACTTTTTATAAAGAATGGCTGCTATAGAAATCTATTTATAGACTTCTCAAATGGAAATTTCTCCACTTCAAAGTGATTATAAACTTAATTAGAGCAATTCCACAAAGACAAAAGGAAGTACATAATAGGAGAAAAGACTATCTAATATTTAAAAGGCAAATTAGATACTGCATATCATTAAGAGGAGTCAAAGATAGAAAGCCTATAAAGCAAATTCTCCTCCTCTGCTTTACAGGTTGTTTCCACATTAAAGGTCCACATCAAAATTTTAGGCTCAACAATTAGTCAGACAACTAGAAAAACACTGAAGGTCTAAAGGAGGGCAACGAGCTTAAGAGGCAGGAATTAGATATATTAGATATATTTAGTGCAAATGGTTAGACAATCTGTCCATATTTTAAACAGACCTCAGAAAGGTGAAGAGGATGAATTCATACTGCCAAGGTTTACAGCAAGAACTCAAGGCCTCCTGGCCTTGGTTCTTATTCACAATTAATTCCGAGAATAAATGTCAGTTTCTCCCTTTATAATACTGGCCTTCATTCTATGTTGAGCAGATAAAAATTACTAAGTCACAGATTTCTAAAACAAATAAAATATTCCCAACCTCAACATTTTATATCATTCACAATTTTCTACTTACAAAGTCTTGACGTATATCATTGAAGTCTTTGCCATATTTTTCCAGTGCCTCTTCAAATAAAGTAGCTTCAGAGGCTGACCATTCTTCCATTTCATCTCTGCATAAAACAGGTCCTCCAAGTGGCACTAAGACACTTATTGCACTGCTCAAGTCATAGCTGTGTCTATATAATGTATCCATAGCATGAAACTAAAGAAAACAAACAAAATGGAGAGAAAAGATCAGCCATAAATGCAAACGTCCTAGATTATTTAAGAACAGATACTGAAGTGCATAATACAGTTAATTAACAACCATATACTGAGGTAGTTATTTTCTCACAAAATTAAGAAAAATTTGAATAACAGATTAGTTAACAATTATTTAAAATATCATTTACTGCTTTAAGAAAATGTTGATTTGTGCCTTTTAAGGTGTGTATTTTTTTTTAATGATTCATTTGTTATAGCAACCTAACTATGGATATCCAGGACCTCCAGGCATTAAATTGGAAACCTGTATGTTTCATCATCCTTTCTGTTAAAAATGCCAAAGTCACTTCAGCTACTATACAAGGCTGGCACAGCCTTCCTGAACAAGATCCTAAAAAATAGATCATGTTGCCCGGCCAGCATGGCTCAGTGGTTGAGCATCTACGTATGAACCAGGAGTTCACGGTTCGATTCCCAGTCAGGGCACATGCCCAGCATGCAGGTTCTATCCCCAGTGTGGGATGTGCAGGAGGCAGCTGATCAATGATTCTCTTTCATCATTGATGTTTCTACCTCTCTCTGGAATCAATAAAAAATATATCAAGGGGGCAAAAAACATCATGTGTCAGAGAGTGAGAAAAAAATTTCTCAGATTGGATTAAGAAAATGATGTACTAAGAAAGGAGAAACAGAAATAAATAAATTGAACTGAGAATGAATGGTAGTAAGACAAAACAAAATTACACATCTGTATAAAACAAACCAAACAAAATTACCTATCCATGTTAAAAATTAACTTGGTTGACATTTTTAAGACCAAGAATGACCAGGCAGGGCTTGGAACAGCTAGGTTGGTGGGGGTTTCCTATAAATTTCAAGGAAGAGTGATTTAAAGAATAATTTGAAAGAAGAAAAGACAGGTTATAATAATAAAAGTGGCTTTTTGCAAAAGTACCTTGGGTGTAACATTTTCCTCCCATCAGGAGAGAATAAACTAGGTTCCAAACTTTTAAGTTTTGAAAAACTTGGTGGTTTTTTTACTGGCAAGAAAGAGATTCATCTATAACATGTATGCCCATTTGTATACAGGAAAACTGCAAAACAGGACAACTGGTTCTACTTCTGGATAAGCATGTAGGTGTGGTGCAGGTTTGGCGGACAAGGTGATCAAATCTTGTCAAGTAAGAACTAGTTCTGTTTTAACTTTCTGACAATGAAAGCCAAGTCTTGCACCTTTTTTTTTTTTTTACATGAAATATCTGTACTCAGAAAATTATAAGACACTGAAAAAAGAAACTGAAGAATATACAAATAAGTGGAAGCATATACTGTGCTCATGCACTGGAAGAATTAACATTGTTAAAATGAACATACCCAAGCAATTAATAGATTCAACACAATTCCTATCAAAATACCAATGACGTATTCACAGAACTAGAACAAATAATCCAAAATTGTATATGGAATCACAAAAGATCCTGGATAGCCACATCAATCTTGAGAAAAATGAACAAAGTTGGAGAAATCACACTACCTGATATCTAACTACACTACAAGGCTACATCTAATCAAAACAGCATGATTCGGGCATAAAAGACAGATCAATGGAACAGAATAAAGAGCCAGACATAATTATTTAATCAATTAATATTTTATAAAGGAGGCAATAACATAGAATGGAATCAAGACAGTCTATTCAATAAATGGTGTTGGGAAAAGTGGACAGATACATGTGAAAAAATTAAACTAGAGACCACCTTCTTACACCATATACAAGAATAAACTCAAAATGGATTAAAGACTTAAATGTAAGACTCAATACCAGGGGTGGGCAAACTTTTTGACTCGAGGGCCACAACGGGTTCTTAAACTGGACCGGAGGGCCGGAACAAAAGCATGGATGGAGTGTTTGTGTGAACTAATATAAATTCAAAGTAAACATCATTACATAAAAGGGTACGGTCTTTTTTTTTTTTTAGTTTTATTCATTTCAAACGGGCCGGATCCGGCCCGCGGGCCGTAGTTTGCCCACGGCTGCTCAATACCATAAAAATCCTACAAGAAAACACAGGCAGTAAAATCTCTGACATTTCTCTTAGTAATATTTTTTTCTGATGTATTTCCTTGGGCAAAGGAAACAAAAGAAAAAAATAAACGAATGGGACTATGTCAAATAAAAAGTTTTTGCACAGCAAAGGAAACCATCAACAAAATGAAAAGATAAGCCACTGAATGGGAGAACATATTCACCAATGATACATCTGGTAACGGGTTAATATCCAAAATTATAAAGAATTCAAAAAACAATACCAAAAACAACAACAATCCAATTAAAAAATGGACAGAGGACCTCAATAGACATTTCTCCAAAAAGGACATACAGATGATCAATAGAAATATGAAAAGATGCTCGATATCAGAGAAATACAAATTAAAATCAGAATGAAATATCACCTCACACCTGCCAGAATGACTATTATCAATAATTCAACAAATAACAAGTGTTGGCTAGGATGTGGAGAAAAGGGAATCCTCGTGCACTGTTTGTGGGATTGTAATTCATAGAGCTATTTCGGAAAACAGTATGGAGGCTCCTAAAAAAATTAAAAATAGGACAAACTTATGACCCAGCTATTTCACTTCTGGATATTTATCTGAAGAAATCCAAAACACCAATTCGAAAATATATATGCATCCCTATGTTCATTGCAGCATTATTTACAATAGCCAAAATATGGAAGCAGCACAAGTCATCAATGGACAACTGGAAAAGAAGATGTGGTACATGCCCAGACAATATGGCTCAGTGGTTGAGAATCAACCCATGAACCAAGAGGTCACTAGTTTGATTCCAGTCAGGATACATGCCTGGATTGTGGGCTCAATCCCCAGTAGGGTGGGTACAGGAGCTAGCTGATTGATGTTTCTCTCTCATTGATGTTTCTATCTCTCTATCCCTCTTCCCTTCCTCGCTCTCTAATAATCAATAAAAAGTTTTTTGTTTTGTTTTTTAAAAAGAGAGAGAGAAGATGCGGTACATATATTTAATGCAATATTACTGAGACATAAAAAAAGAATGAAATCTTACCATGTATGACAACATGGATGGACCTAGAGAGTATTATGCTAAGTGAAGTTAAGGCAGATAAGAACAAATACCATATGATTTCACTTATATGTGAAATCTAAAAAATAAATGAACAAACAAAACAGAAACAAACCCATAGATACAGAGAACAAACTGATGGTTGCCAGGTAGGTGGGGGTTTGGGGGAGGTGGGTGAAAAAGGGGAAGGGATTAAGAAGTACAAATTGGTAGTTATGAAATAGTCATGTGGATGTAAAGTATAGCATAGGGAATACAGTCAATAATATTGTAATTACTGTGTTTGGTACCAGGTGGGTACTAGACTTATTGGGGGGATCACTTCATAAATTATATACATATCCAATCACTATGCTGTACACCTGAAACCATCAATTTCCTAGTTATAAGCACAGCTAAGACCACTGACCATGTATAGTCTTTTGCTATATGTGTCACAATTGTAGAATAATAACCTCAACTTTCAAGTAAATTTCTTCTCATTCTTCTGTAGCAGGGGTTACAAAAAATGTTAGAATTAATCTTTATTTTTTGCTTGTCCTCTGCAAACTCCAGCATCCCTGAAACTAAATGATTATTGTTTCTGGATATATAACTTATGAAAATGAAAAGAAAGTTCAATAGCATTTATTGATCCCTTCAATTAATAATGTATTTTCATAAATGATTGTTATTTTTTTAATCCTCACCAGAGGATATGTTTAGAGAAAGGAAGTTGGGAGGTGGGGCGAGAGAGAGAGAGAGAGAGAGAGAGAGAGAGAGAGAGAGATATCAATTTGACAACGACACATCGGTTGGTTGTCTCCTGTACGGCCACCACCAGAAATGGAACCTCAACCTAGATATGTTCCTGACTGGGAATCAAACCTTCAACCTTTTTCTGTAAGGGACAACGATCCAACCAACCAAACCACCCAGCCAGGGCCATTAATGATTATTTTTAAAACTCCTATATAATAAAAGGCTAATACGCAAATCAACTGAAGGGCGGAACAACTAGTCGCCATGACGCACACTGACCACCAGGGGGCAGGCGCTCAACTCAGGAGCTGTCCCCTGGTGGTCAGTGTGCTCCCACAGGGGGAGCACTGCTCAGCCAGAAGCCAGGCTCATGGCTGGTGAGCGCAGCAGCGGTGGCAGGAGCCTCTCCCGTATCCATGGCAGCACTAAGGAGCCATCTGTCAGAAATCCCCTGAGGGCTCCCAGACTGCAAGAGGGCACAGGCTGGGCTGAGGGACACCCCCCCCCCTCCAAGTGCACAAATTTCATGCACCGGGCCTCTAGTATTTATAATGAATAACAAAACTAAAAAAGATTAAATGGTACTCAAAATCAATAATTAGACAAAGTAATTATGTTGCTGAGATTCCTTAGGAGGTAAAAGTAATTTTTATAATTAACGAGTGCTATGAAACCAGAAGTGAGAGAATTAAATGAGTTTTTCTCAACTGATATTATACTAACCACTCAAAGCATAAATGGATTTTCTGTCTTTTGTTCACGTTAGATGAATGAAAATACTCTTCTTATAGTCACTTTTAAAATTGATAATGAGCTATTATCTAATAAGACTTCAAAGAACCAAAGTACTTTCTCAACCTTTATAAGTTGTTATGACCAAAATCTCAAGTGATTACAGAGTGTTTGTGTTACTGAACAGTGAAGTAAGCATTTGCCTTTGGAAGACTAGCTCCTGTATTGTGCCACAACTCAAATGGAAAGAATGGGGCAGACTCACAGCTTACCAGGAGCTATGAAACCTCCAAAGCCCACATTTATTCCATAGCCTAGAAGAGAGTGCAGTAATAATCAGTATATGTACAAAATAAACATTCCCATCAGGCACATGCACTGTGGAATTCCTAGGGAACAATTCTGTTGAAATCAATAAC